TGAAAAAAACCCAGAGCCTAGGACACGGAGGGGAGCAGGGAGCGAGGCCCAGGCAGTGAGGGCCTGTGCCGCTGAGCTCCCGCTGCTGGGCGGACCTGCTGGGCCCCGGTTCCCCATGAGCGAGCGTGTGCCCCCTGCACATGTGGTAGCGGAGAAGCGGGCGTGGTGGCTTCCCCCCAAATTATCCTGGGTGTCCCCTGCCCCCACACCTTGCCCATCTCGCAGAGGCCATAACCATCCCTTCAGGGTTGCAGAAACTTCTCCCCTTTGCCCCACACTCTGCACCAGACCCACCAGCCACCTCCCACCTCAGCCACCCGTCGCCGCCTTCCTGCGCGTGGCTGGCGCCAGGGAAACCCGGAGGCCTGCACGTCCACTGCGTGCAGAGTGAAAACCACCCGCGGCAGCCCTGCCTCACTGCTCCCCTCTCCCAGCTGCGGCTCCGCATCTCCAGCCCCACCAGCTCCCTTCAGCTGCTGCAAATCCCGCGTTTTCATCTCCAGCTCGAGCCTGGTCCCTCCCCTGTCCTCTCTCTCTAGACTTCAGCCCAGCCTTCGCTTCTTTTGTCGCACTTTCACTGTTTGTTGAGATTGCATTGGTCTGTTTACTTATCTCATCTGTCTGGAACGTAAGCTCCCTGAGAGCCAGAAAAGGGATCATCACCCAGGCTCAGCGGGGCCTGGGGAACCGCCGGGCACGAACTGTGTCAGGGATGGCGCCGGAGCCCACAGACCAACCCGCCACGCCCACTGGTGGTGTCGTTCCACTTCAGCGGCAAATGGCCCTTGAACAACTTGGGGGCTAGGGGTCCTGACGCCTGTGCAGCTGAAAATCCACCTATAACTTTTGACCCCCTGAGACTTAACTCCAGTCCCTCGGTACCTGCGGGGGATTGACTCCAGGACCCCACAGACACCACGTCCTCTGACACTCAAGTCCCTGATATAAGTGGAGTAAGAAGAATCCATACCGTTGGCCCTCCACATCCGTGGACTCCCAATCGTGGATGCAAAACCCAGGAAATGGAGAGCCAACTGTGTATTTACTGAAAAAAGTCACGTCGAAGTGGACCTGCACGGTTCAAACCCAGGTTGTTGAAGGGCCAACTAGTTTGCATGTGGCCTGCAAAGCCACAAATATTTACTCCTGGCCCTTTACCAAAAATAAATAAAAATAGCTGATCCCTGGCATATATTCTCTCATTCATTCCCATGAAGTGGGACTGGAGATACATCAATGAACAAAGAGAAAAAATGGGGGAGACAACAGACATTCTAAGCAAACTATGCAGCATACTGCAAGATAGTACGCGGGTGGGAAAGAGGGAGCAGGTAAGGGAGTCCGGACCTGCTGGGGCAGGCCTAGCCGTCATGGTGAAGGTGAGAGTTGAAAGACTTGAGACAAGTCAGGGAGTGAGCCATGTGGATACCCAGGGAAGGAGGTTCCGGGCAGAGACCATAGCACGTGCAAGGCCCTGAAGCAGGCTCATGCCTGGCATGTTCAGGAGATTGCAAGGAGGCCAGGCTGGATGCCGGGTGCGACAGGGAGAGGGAGCGGTGAGGGCCCTGACGTAGCAGGGGCTGCATCGTGAAGGACTGTGAGGCTCGGTTGGCCTTGACTCCAAGCGGCCTGATGGGTCGTGCCGAGATTCCCCACTTTCCAGAGAGCGGACAGGCCCAGAGTCGCACCGCGATGGAGCGGGGCCTTGGCTCCCTCAGACCCGCCGGAGGGTCAGTGGTGCTCTCTGCACCCTGACGTCACATGCCCTCTCTGCAGACCAGAGTCCCCTCCAGAGGGTGGCAGCAGGCAGGCCCTGTGGTCTCTTTCTGGACAGGCTGCGTCTGGGATGGGTCCTGGGAGTGCAGTGCCTGGGCATCCCTGGGGCTCAGCCCAGGGAGGCCAGGGCCTCTGGAGGCCAGCGGGGCACGGGCACTGCAAACAGCTTCCGCCCAGGGCTCTAGCCCCTCTCTGCTTCATCTGGGCAACCCCAGCATCGGTGCTGAAGCCCCAGCCTTGAGGTCAATGGGTGGTTCCCCATTTTATAGGTGGGTAAACTGAGTCACCCTCATCACAAGTGGAGCTGGAAGTATCCCATCGTGGCTGCTTTGGCACAGCAGACAGGGGTCAGGCCGGGCCTGGGGGGCAGAGGCCTGGGTTCTAACTGTGACTGCTTGACTCAACAGGGCCTTCAGCAAGTGCAGCTGCTCTCTAGGTCTCAGTGGTCTCATCTGTAAACTGGGGCTGCAGGACAAGAACGTCTCTGAGGCCCTCCCACTTAACGCTCCTCATTCTGGAAGTCCCGCCCAAGCCGCCCATTTCAGGTTGTTCTGAGTGTGAGACATAACCCTTTCCATAGACTACCACCAGGCTGCAACGCTTATCATAGACTACCACCAGGCTGTAACCCTTATCATAGACTACCACCAGGTTGAACCCTTACCATAGACTACCACCAGGCTGAACCCTTTCCATAGACTACCACCAGGTTGAACCCTTACCATAGACTACCACCAGGCTGAACTCTTTCCATAGACTACCACCAGGCTGAACTCTTTCCATAGACTACCACCAGGCTGAACCCTGACCATAGATACCACCAGGCTAAAACCCTTTCCATAGACTACCACCAGACTGGAACCCTGACCATAGATACCACCAGGCTGTAACCCTTACCATAGACTACCACCAGGCTGAACCCTTACCATACACTACCACCAGGCTGCAACCCTTTCCATAGACTACCACCAGGCTGGAACCCTGACCATAGATACCACCAGGCTGGAACCCTGTCCATAGATACCACCAGGCTGTAACCCTGACCATAGATACCACTAGGCTGCAACCCTTACCATAGACTACCACCAGGCTGAACCCTTACCATAGATACCACCAGGCTGTAACCCTTACCATAGATACCACCAGGCTGGAACCCTGTCCATAGACTACCACCAGGGTGGAACTCTGAACCATAGAAACCACCAAGCTGGAACCCTTACCATAAGACTACCCACCAGGCTGAAACCCTTTCCATAAATTACCCCCAGGGTGGAACCCTGGACATATATACCCCCCAGGCTTGAATCCTCACCTAAGACACTACCAGGGTGGAACCCTGGTCTTAGACTACCCCCAGGCTGGGG